AGGAAAGTCATCTTAACATCCATCTGCCAGACTTCATAATCCATATGAGTGGCTACAACTAAGAGAATCCAAATGGATTTAAGCATAGCTAATGGCGAAAAGGTTTCATCATAATCGATACCCTCTTTCTGGGTATAACCTTTCGCAACAAGCCTAGTTTTAAAGGATTCCACCTTTCCATCCGATCCCCTCTTTCTCTTGTAAACCCACTTGCATCCAATGGGACATATCCCATCGGGTGGTTCTACAAGATTCGAGACCTGATTGGTGTCCATAGACCCCATCTCAGCTTTCATTGCAACCTTCTACGAATTTGCATCTCTATCTTAGAGTGCCTCGTCATAAGTTCTTGGGTCCGATTCTAGGTCTCCTGGAACTGAGTCTGATGACTCTCCAAGACCTATCCATCGGTCGGGTTGTGTAGAAACCCTCCCACTACGACGAGGTACCGTCTGTACTGGCACACTATCAGTGTTACGTGTTGTAGTACTATGTGATGTATCTACTTGTGCACTCGGTGGGGAACTATCGATATCTCTCCCTAACTCCTCTAGGACAAGTTTACTACTGGGCTTATGACCTATGATATAGTCTTCTTCCAAGAATCTAGCGTTCGTACTAACGATCACCTTCTGATCCTCTGGACTATAAAATAAACCACCTTTCATTTCGTTAGAATAGCCGACAAATAGTCTCACTTCTGATCGTTTCTCTAACTTGCCAGCCTCCTGCACTAAGACATGTGCAGGGCAAACCCCAAATTTGAATTTGTGAGAAACTAGGCTTGCGCCCTTTCCACAACTCATAAGGAGTACTGTCTACTGATTTTGAAGGAACAGAATTCAGAATGTAACATGCTGTCTCTAATGCAAATCCCCAAAACGAATCTGGTAACTTCGAATAACTCATCATCGACCTAACCATTTCCATAAGAGTTCTGTTTCTTCGCTCTGCAACCCCGTTCTGCTGGGGCGTGCCGGGTGCAGTCAGCTGGGATTCAATCCCTGCTTCTGATAGGTATGTCCTAAACTCTCCAAAGAGGTATTCGCCTCCTCGATCAGATTGAGGACACTTGATACTTTTACCTTGTTGTTTATCCACAACTGTCCTATACTCCTTGAATTTCTCAAAGCATTCGGACTTGCGGTACAACAAGTAAATGTATCCATATTTAGAATAATCATCAATAAAAGTGACGAAATACTCATAGCCTCCTCTAGCTTGGATCGACATAAGACCACACAAATCAGAATGAATCAATCCTAGCACTTCTTGGCTCCTTCGCCCCTTTGTCGAAAACGGCCTCTTGGTCATCTTACCTTCTAGGCAGGACTCGCAGGTTTGGTAATGATCTTCTACTGGACCAAGATGCCCAGTAGATACCAACCTTTGAATCCTCCTAAGGTTGATGTGCCCAAGCCTAAGGTGCCAAAGATATGCATGATTCATCGAAAACTCTTTTCTCTTATTAGTTTTAGTCGAGACATTATTCGATTCATTTTGTTTCAGTGTGGGAGACTTTGGTTTCAGAACATACAAATTGCCAACCATTGAACCAGAACAAATCAAATGATTACCATAACGAATAATAACTGAGTTATTAAACGAAATTGAATAACCATTCAAAACGAGTTTAGAAACTGAAA